AAATAGGAATTTTATAACTTTTTCCCATCTGACAACTAACACAAATAAAATGTGATCTATTCCATGCATCAACATTTATCATTTATTTAGATTCTAAGTAACATGCTACTTTATTTTGAGGATGTCTGAGCCGTTAATACCATACATCTTTTGATATTCTCATATTCCAATTAGAAAATAAATATTGATTCACATCTTCAAGTGCGTTCAATCGGCCCTTTCTAGTCCTGCTAATCAAATTTCACCTTGTGCTCATTTCTTTAACTAGAAAGCTATTTGATGAGAACTCAAAAATACAATGAAAGTGACTAATAGATCATTTAAGAAAAGTCTTTTGTAAGAGAAACAAATATCCATCCTAAAGATGGACGTCGAATAAAGTGCATTGTTCATAAACAACATGGACCGTGCACAAAAAAAACCAAAATTATATTTTTAACTGTAAAAGTTTATTTTTCTTTTCATATTAATGCTCACCTTGCATCTAGAATCTATGAAAAAAGGGTGCAATTTGTATAGAATCTATGTAAAAAACCTATGATATTGGGAACGTCGGACCAGCAGATTACGATTAATATGGGTGTCTTTGGTAATAATGTGTAACTTTTTGTTGTTCATGCTAGTACTATCCGAGCAAATCATAGAAACCTTTGGATGGAACTTGTCTCTATGACAACAACCTCTCATTGGGTTGTTGCAGGAGATTTTAATGCCATTTCTTCTCCCATGAAAAGAGAGGCTCTGGTACATTCAATATGGGATCTTCTAACGAATTTGCAGCCATGATTGATTCATGTTCTCTTGTAAGACTACACTCTATTGGTAGCAAATTCACTTGGCCCAATAATAGAAGGCATGGGAATGTGATGGCAGTTCTTGATAGAGGGCTTTGTAATGATGCTTGGTTCAATTTTTTCCATGATTGTACTCAAAAGACTCTACCAAGGGTTGCATCTGATCATGCACCTATTTTGATTAAATATGAGGACATCCAACGACTTAACAATATATCTTTTCATTTACAAAGGTTTTGGACAAATCATAAGGATTTTTCTGAGGTGGTTTCACAATCTTGGAATACTCCTGTTAATGGTACACCCATTTTTATTGTTGCCAAGAAGCTTAAAAGGTTGAAAGCCGATCCAAATATTTGGGCCAAATCAACTTTTCCTCAACTTAATAATCTAGTGAAGTCCATCACTATTGAACTTGAAGATATACAGGAAACTATTGAGAATGTGGGATCAAATGGTTTTCTTTTGGATCAAGAGCTTGAAGCCAAAACCAAACTTCATAATGCTCTTGGAATTCAAGAAAAACTGTGGGCTGCAAAATCCAGGATTAAGTGGCTAAAATGTGGGGATAGGAACACCAAATTTTTTAACTTGACAACTAAAATCCGTCAAGCAAAGAATTTTATGAGAGATTAAAAAGCAGGATGGTTCTATAATCTCAAACCCCAAGGATATCGGAAATTATATTGCCGAGTTCTATGAAAATTTTCACAAAAAACAGGCATCCTTTAAATGCACTTATTTGCTTGACTGTATTCCACTTCTTATTGATCAGAATGATAATCACATGCTCACAACAAATCCTTCTGAAGATGAAATAAAGTCGATCATTTTTGCTATGGATTCTAACAGTTCCCCTGGACCTGATGGTTTTCCCTGAACTTTTTATCAAAAATGTTGGGATATTGTGGGTTTTGATGTTTGCATGGCAATCAGGAACTTCTTCCAATAAGAAATTATTATGAAAGGCTTCAATAATAACTTCATTACTTTGATTCCCAAAGTTGAGGGTGCTAAACCTCTAGATTTGTTTAGACCAATATGTAAGGGAAACTTCATCATTAAGATCATTCCCAAAATTATGGCTCCAAGACTGGCATCCTTACTTCCCAAATTGATATCTGAGGAGTAAGGGGCTTTCCAAAAGGGTAAAGTTATTTTCTCAAACATTTCCCTTGCATCTGAACTGGCCAATGTAATTCCTATTAAGTCTCATGGTAGGTCTATGGGAATTAAAATTGATATACAAAAAACTTATGATTCCCTGGCATGGGAATTTTTTTTTGATGTATTGGAAAATTTTGGTTTTTGTGCTAAGTGGATTCATCAGACAAATTTTAATTTTGGCCAATATTTTTCTGCTTGTGAATGGTGGTCCATATGGGTTTTTCAAAGCTGAAAGAGGCATTAGCCAAGGTGATCCTTTAGCACCATTACTCTTCATCATTGCAGAAGAAGTTCTATGCAGGGGTATTTCTAACCTAAGAGAAAAGGGCAAAATTAAAGCTCTTCCAGGACCAAGGAATTCCAAGGGACCCAACACATCTCCTTTTTGTTGATGACGTTTTTATTTTTATGAATGCAGATATCAAACTTGTAAAAAATATGAAGAGCTTTTTTGTCAATTACCAAAAGTATTTTGGTCAGTTGATACATCAGGGAAAGAGTAAGGTTTTCTTTGGAAGAATTCCTAGCACAAGGAAGAATGAGATATCTAGAATTTTGAAATTTACTTAATGCTGCTTACCATATCCTGGTGTCAATATCTTCAAGGGTCGGGTTAAAAAAGAGTACATCTTGGAAATGGTGGACAAATTTAAAGCCAGAATTTCAAGCTGGAAAGGTAAATTACTCTCTATGGCAGGTGGAGTTCAACTAATCAAGTCGGTGATAACTAGCCTACCAATACACACCTTTTCTATTTATTGGTGGCTGTCCTCGATCATTGCACTTATGGAACAATGGATGAGAAATTTTATTTGGTCTGGGGACCCTGATAATTCAAAATTGATTACTGTCAAATGGGACCAAATTTGTAAATCAAAAGTCGAAGGTGGGCTTGGTGTGCGCAACTTGAGGGACATTAACAAATCATTTCTTGCAAAGTTACGCTGGTCAATTAAACATGAAGATACAATGTTTGACAACTTTATGAGAGCTAAATATCTAAAGCAAGATGGATCAATCAAAAAGTCCTTTTCCTCTTCTATCTGGTTTGGCATCCTAAAAGTTTGGGACTTGGTTACCGATAATGAGCACTGGATTATTGGTGATGGTTCCAAGATAAATTTTTGGAAGGACAAGTGGATGGGGGAAGTTACCATAACAGAAGTTTCAGGTCTTAATGCTTCGGTGTTTCGAAACTTTAATGCAAGGGTATCTAGTTTCATCTTGGGTACGCAACGGTCTCTTCCTCATGTTTCTTCTTCATTTTTGAATGATTTATTCTCACAAATTCTACTCATTCAATTACCCACCATTGATGTTTCTAATGTTTGTATTTGAAAACCTACATTGTCTAGGTTATTTTCCTCTTGCTCTGCGTGGGAAACTTTTCGAGAGAAAGCAACCAAGTTTCTTAATATTCAATTGTTTGGCAACCACATTTACAGCTAAGACACTCAGTCTTTGACTGGAGGCTTATGCAGTTAAAGTTACCTACTGATGATTCCTTTACTTCCAAAGGAATTCCTTTAGCCTCTCAATGTTCGTTGTCGTATCTTTCTTGATTGTTTATTTTCACTTGATCTGTGGAGATGGTTCTTGGAGATATTTGGCATACAGGTGCGGCCGAATGTTTTAAATTTGTAGGAACTATCTCAATGGTGGAACAATAAGGTAGAACAACTTCCTTTTCCACAAATATGGAGAGCTGGATTTAAACTTATTCAATACCACATCTGGAGGGAGAGGAGCTCAAGACGATTTAACCAACAAAAGAAGATATCCCGTGAGGTCATCACAAGTATCAAAAAAGACATTATGGAAGCTACAAGAGGGATGAAGAACTTATCACCGAAAAGACTTTTAGATCTCCAAATCCTGAGGACCTTTGATATCCCTGCGGGACGGTCAAGGCCAAAAATTCTTGTGGAGATCATATGGAGGAAGCCGGCAGAAGGATGGTTCAAGCTAAATGTTGATGGTTGTGAACTGGGCAATCCGGGTCATTCTAGGGGGGTGGTGTTTTCATAAATTCAATGGGCATACCAGGTTGGACTTTTTCATTTTATCTGGGTAATACAACAAATTTTTTGCTCTGTTCCAGGGTATTGAGATTGCAAAGGAAAAAGGTGTGGAAAGGCTTTGGATAGAATGTGACTTAATAGCTGTTATTGAAGCAATTAAAGGCTGAAAAATCCCATGGAATTTTTCACAAAATGGCTTATCCTTCGGACTTATTTGGATCCTATACTTTGGATGATAACACACATCTTTAGGGAATGAAACAATGTGGCTAACCTACTAGCAAAGAAAGTTGCATATTCTCGACTGACCAATTTATGAGACTATCCACCTGATTATGTTCGGACTTTAACAAAAAAAAGTATAGAGCCGAGGCTCTAAACAATCAAAATAAAGCGCGCCTTCAAATAATGTCAAGAAATATGGTTTCAATATTGGAAATTAGCCTTAAAATATATTTTCATTTGTAATTATAAAATTTAAAGTTTCAAAAATAGTGTAGATCGAATAGATCTATGAAAACTTGTAAATTTTGAATATTGACGTTAAAAAAATACGTTACAAGATGTACTGTTTTTAGAACTTGAAATTCATTTTTTTCCCATGCCCATGCATCATGACGTTGAGATGATCAATTTGAGGATATTTGAAGATCATAACAACATCTTCTAATGAAAATTATGAGGTGGGCTCTAATTTGATTGTTTAGAGCCTTGGCTCTAGACAAACTTTTTTCAATAAAAAATCCATCTTTAAAATAGATTTTAGATGGGGCCGCATGTATACATATGAGTCCGCTGACTCATAGAGTTCCTTATATACGACGGTTCTCGTAATCTTTATCATTTTTGGCTCATAAATGTTTAGTTAGGGGTTTTGGTGATAAAGCTCCCTTATCGTTTCCCAAATTCTACACCGACTTATTAGAGTAAAGGATCGGAAACTACCAGCATAAAGGTTGGGGCAGTTACTTTATAAGAGAGACGACAGGATAGGAAACTGCCAGCATAAAAGGTATGCACAGTTACTTTATAAGAGAGAGGAAGGTTTCGGGGATGGGGTATAAAGAGGGCTTTATAAGAGAGAGGAAGTGTTCGCTTTAGCGTTTTGGCGGTGTAAGAGGGGCTCTAAGGTTGTGTGGCCGTAAGACCTCCATATCTCCAAACCCTATCTAGGGTTTGGAGAAGATGAGGGTTTTCATCTGCGAGATGGAGGGTTTTCATCTCCCCTTCTAGGGTTTGGGGAGATGTAGGGATATGTGGTATTTGAATGGTATTAGGAGAATACTCTTGGTGCTCTTAAGTTATATTCCTTTATGGTTTGTTTTTGATACTATGAGTTTATTTTAATGCTATAGGACTTTCATCTCTCCCTCTAGGCAAGAAGAGTTGGGGAGATGAAGGATTGATTAACATAGAGTGAAGTTATATTTTACTTTTTTTTGGTTGCTCTCAAGGTTATCTTTTATCTTATATTTTTATGTTGAGGAAAGGTAGATAATCTTGAAGAGGATTAGCAAAACAAGACATCTTTGAAAGAGATATTGAATTGAATGGAGACATGTTTGAAAGTTTTGAAACATAGATTGAATGGAGAAGATTAGCAAGCAAGAATATCTTTAGAACTAGACACAAAGGAGGCACAAAACTACTTTCAACTTGCATATTTAAAATTTTTTGGAATAATATCTTGTTGATCCTAAGGGTGAACCACATAAATGTTGTGTTATCATAAATATTTTTCAATTTGTTCTAGGATGTAAACTTAATATCGTGCAATGACTCACTCGAGTCTACTCGGACTAGCAAGCCCATATGCTTGACTCGTCGAGTAAATTGCATGGGCTAGGGGCGAGTCCTCACACTACTTGATGTGGTGAACCACTTAAATCTTGTGTTTTGGTATGTGATTATTTTAGCATTAAGGAATGCATTGCATCTCTTACTAAGAAAGAGTTGAGGAAGATTTGATAATGTTGTATTAGGATTTCTTTTAAAGAGAGATTGGATGTAGAAATGAGCAAACTAATATTTGAAGGTACTTTCATATCTCAAAATCTTCTTCTTTCAAATAGCTTTGTTAGCGAACCACATAAATTATGTGTTATCTCATAAATAATAAATAATATTGGGTGTTGTAAATGGTGAATATGCGTTATTTTTGTTCAAGGATAACTTAATACAGTGAACCACATGATTTTTGTATTATTCTAAATAATGAATAATTACGATATGGCTCCGCATATGACTTTTTGTTTTTATCAAGATTTGTTGATTTTTATGGGTTGTTGATTTTATCTTGCACAATAAATACATTTTCAATTAGGGTTTTGAAGTGTGGCTTTACCAAATATTGACATTGACACCACTGACACATATATCTGTCATTTTACATCCATTCAATTTATGTTTTCCTTATTCACTTGTATCTAGCAGGGTGTTAGTTAAATTCCTCAACTTGGAAATGGGTCAAATCTCATTTGGATGAGCCATACTTTGCTCTTATTCTATTTGTTCTTAATTTAGAGATTTGGCCGAATTGAATCACTTGAGCTCAAGACTCTCGACAGTTTTTTAGTCCAGGATTAAACATGAGTACAATGATGGATGGTCACTTTATGTGCTCCCAACATGATATTTACATGCTCTCCATTATGCAATCAAGTTTTTTTATGTGAGAGTTACATTGTATATCTTTAAAGCTGCAATATTGAAGTCATTGATCATTTTTTCTTGTGTAAGTAGTCACAGTCAATAACCACATAAATCTTGTGGTTCTTTGTATTATTTCCTTTCATTCTAGTTTCTATTGTGTTGTTGCCGGTTATTGTTATTTCCTCTTGTTCATGAACGTGAGTACTTGGCACAACAACCACTCTAGACTTGTATTTGACCAAGAAGCCTCTTTGTGTAGGGTCGCACCAACAGGTTCAACTTGGCTTAAGGCAAACTTTGCTTCTTATACTTTTGTCTCTTTTATTAGACCCGCCCTTGCGTTATTGATACATTATCTTTTTGACATGTGGCAGAAATCCACATCTTGTAAAAGTCACCCGCTGAACAAGAGCTCAATTTATGGACGTCGGGTTGAGAGAGAGAATGGTGAAGTACTAGTCTCTCCTTTTCAATCCCCTTCTTCCATGAAGGAGTGCAAGGCTAGGTGGTCAGGGCAGCGGGATGCCACAACATGACGTCTTGAGTTTTATTCTACTAGGTGTAGGTGGTCATTCCTGCCATTCCATGCCGAACTACACCAAAAAAGAGATGAAAAAAAAGGAAAAGAAAAACCTCATTCATGTGCCTCCATTTCCAAGCTTGAGTTGGGTACAACTGATCTTGGTGAGTTCGTTCCATACTCTCATTTTGTTTATTCTTTGTTATAGTTTTTCATTAGGGGAACAAAAAAAAGAAATGAAATTATGTAATATATTGTGTACTTTTGGAGAGTCCTTACAAACTATTTGCATGATTGCTTTGATGCTTTTTGTGTCTAGAGTATATGCATGCTAACTGTTTGATTATATTCTCATGAGTGATTTAAAAGATAATTGTGACACTTTATTTTGTAGTGGTCATCGATCTAAAAGCCTATTCATACTTATGTTTGCATTTGTTTCAAGGGAGGTATTGCGACCACTAGTTATAGATGCTTAAAAGGTGCACAACCACCTTAATAGGCTAGATTGAACTAGCCTCATCCAAGGGCCAAAAATGAACTTTGTTTTTTATTTTTAATTGTTAATTTTTAATTTGAATGATATTAATATGAAATTTAGAAGTCTAGTTTTATTTTTATGCGTTAAATTGAATAAAAATAATAAATACTAGTACATTTTGTTGGCCATTGTTGAGTTGATTTCTATTTTGGGCACACAACATAAGCCATAGGCCTCACTACTGCGATGCAATCGTGCAACGCATCATAACTCCATATATTAATATGGATTGAGCCTTGTTATCTTTTTGTTTCGCTATATGGTCTTTTAATTTTTTTTATTTTTTATTGCACTTGTCAGGTACTTAGTATTTGGGTGTATGTTATGGCTGCTAAGTGCTAATATTTCCTTTTGTATGGTATCATGCTTTCTTACTCAAGTACATGGTATATGGACATATTTTTAACTAATTTTATTTAACAAATTAATTATGTTAGAGAAGATACAAAAAAATATCTTGCCCATATGGCATTTTCATTTTTACCCTACTTATTTTTTGTTTGTGTGTGTGTTAAAGGTAAATTCATTGAAAGGAAAAAATGTACAATGAGCGATGTACAAAAAAAGAGAAAAAAGAGAAGGACAGAACTACAGAGAGAAGGGCACAAGAAAGAAAAGAAAGGAGCAGGTGAAAGGAATAGGAGAAACAAAGACAGAGCCCTATGATGAAGCTTTGGTAAGGGAGTCTGCTTCACTATTCGGTTCTTTGAATACATGTTCAAAGGAAAAAGTTATGGAAGATAATGAGAGGTGAATGTCACCTACTAGGTGCCGCCGTCTCCAAGGTGGATTGGGTTTGACCACTAAGATATAACATTAGAAAATTCCCCTTCAATGATAACTCTTGTGTGTGTTTCTTCAAGCTTTGATACACCAATTCTTGCTACTCAAAGCTTAGCTTCCTTAGCAGTACAAGGGTGTAGTGTCATGGAATAGGAAAAGATAGTATTCCCCAAGTGATCCCTAATTAAACCTCCTTCCCCAACTAAAGTAATAACACTATTTGAATTTGGATCCCCTTTAGAGCTGCCATCAATATTAAGTTTATACCATCCTTCTATTGGCGGGATCTAATTAGAAGCTCTAGTGAATCTTTTTTTTAATGAATGATGAGGAAGGCAAAGTTACCCAATATTTCTTCTTCGGATAGAGGTCCACTATCAATGTTGACCAGTTTGATAGAAATAAACATCACTTATTCTTTTGCTTTAACCCCTTCCAAAGAGCATTGCCCATTCTCAAAAATTTTAGCGTTTTCTTTCCATACTTGCCGGAGGATCACTACAATTGCCATTCTCCAAAGGTTGATTCATATCTTTCGAAAAGGTGATGTTAGCCAAGTCGAGAATAGCTAAGTTATAATATTGGGAATAACCCATTCTAAGCCAAACAAACCCAGAATCCATTGCCATAAGTTAGTGGCCAAAGGAAACCTATAAACAAGCGATCATTAGACTTAGACTCATTCCTATTGAGAACCCAAAAATTGGGTGGTTTTCTTAAGTTGTTCCATAGATAGAGTCCTATTCCATGCTGACAACCAAAGGAAAGCTTCAAATCAATGTGGTACTTTGAAATTCCATATACTTTGTTGGCTTGTGGTTTGTGTTGGACGTAATGATCCCCACTCAACCTGGCATAAAGGTATTTAACTGTAAAGCAACCACTTGGATTTAATTCCCATATTATTGTCTTTCTCTAAATGGTACATAAAATACCTCTTAAAAGAATTCATGACAACTTTATATACCTTGTCTTGATGCCTTCATCAACTCTGCCATGTGTTAATCTAATATGCGAAACTTTATTTGCACCTATTCTTATCACCATGACCTCGATTGAAGCCTGTTCAAAATAGATTTCTGGAAGATAGTTGGATATTGAAGTTTGAGAGGTAATGTGCCGCCCCGCTTGGTGCTCTGAAGTATCAGCCTCATTACCTATCATTACCTAGTAATACTCTGTTGTAATTCAGGAATAGGGATTTGCAACCATTAAGGCCTTTCAGACAAAAGACGCTTGTGTATTAGCCCATAGTCTTTTAATTGTCACATTGGACTTGTTCAAAAGAGATTATAAAAAATGAGTGTTTCATATGCATATTGCAACCGGGAGACTAAAGGACTGTTAGTGGAGGTGGAGAAGCCTTTAAGGAGGCCTCTTCATTCATTGATTTAACCATGAGGCTAAATGATTAATGCTACAATCTAAAAAAAGAATTGGGATAGGGGATCTCCCTATCTCTGATCAATTATCCATCAATACTGAGTAATATACAAACAAGATGCACCTAAGAATCCAACTTCTTGATCTCTCTCCCAACCCTATTTTAGACGTTACATCCATCATAGAAGTCTATTAAATTCTATCATAGGCCTTATCAAAATCCAATTTATATACTTGTTTCTTGTATACCAGCAATCTTTCTTGAATGAATCGTCTCACGAGCCATCAATATGATATTTGTGATCAAACGATCTTTTACAAATGCTGATTGTGGTTCAGAAATAGCCACATTAAGGACCTCCCTGAATATATTTGCCAGAACCTTTCCTATTATTTTGTATGATCCCATGAGCAAACTTACATGACTAATATCTATCAACGATTGCATCGCTTTCTTTGCAGGAATTAGAGCAATGAATGTAGAGTTTATTGCTTTACAAATCTTACCTCCATATAATTCCTCCATCATCCACAAATGATCTTCTTTGATAATATCCTAGTAATTCGAAAAGAATACCAATTATATTCATATGGACCAAGGGCTTTGTCTCTTATCAAACTAAAAACAACAAACTCAATTTCTTTAATAGTGAAACCTTTTTCAAGGTGGCTGTTTGCTTTGAGGATAAAGCAGTAGATAGAATGCTGCCAATATAGAACTTCAACTATAATACTTTCTTTTGCAGGCCAATCATCATCAACAATCCCCAGAATGGTCATCGCATGGCATGTATCGTTCTCCTTGAATTTGCAATCGCATGAAAATATTTAATATTATTGTCTCTGTCCTTTATCCACTTAGACATTGACCTTTGAAACCAATACACTTATTCCTTTTTGAGAACTTCTTCCAATTGAACATTTGAAGTTTTGTACTTGATTGCTCCTTATCATCTAAAAATTAAATGGATATAGTGAGACAAGGATCTACATGATAGCTCCTTATCATCTAAAAATTAAATGGCTATACTGAGACAAGGATCTACATGATTGCTCCTTATCATCTAAAAATTAAATGGCTGTACTGATTTATCAAATCTTGTTAGAGATGCTCCCAAAATTTTTTTTACTCCATTGTTTTTTAAATTATCTTTAAATATTTGAATCTTATTTGCAAAAGCATAGCATCTCCAACCTTGAGCATGGTTATTTTCTCACACTTGTCTGACTAGGCTATGTTATGTTATGATTTGTCCTCCATCCATGTTAATTCAAAACGAAAAGGAGAGGGCCCATAGAGGCAACCCTCAATATCCCATAGCATAGAGGTACATAATCGAAGTAATTTTACCTTCAATTCGTATTAAAGGCGGGTCTATTAATTTATTCCTTTGTATAAACTCTTTGATTTTTCTCATGCATTGCATTAATTTGGATTTTGGAATTAGATTCAGACAACCATCTGACAATGTTGTAGTCTCCAACACCACACCAAGGGATATTAACATTAAGCAAATCATTCTCTACATTCAACAAAAATTCCTCTTTCAAGAGGAGAGTTGGGGCTGACACCAATCCATTACAGATATAGTGATTCCACTTACACAAATAAGGTCCCACAACGTCAACATACCACCTAACAAACCCACGGAAAACACACTTGTAAATAGCATGGGCCCCTTGCCCTAGGACCATAAAAATAAATAAATAAATAGCAATAAAGCAGCAACAACAATAATAACTACATTAGGAACTTGGATTTTGGTTTCGAGAACGTAGGCCTCCATCTTCTAACCAATAATGACAAAATTCTCGTTTTTCTTTTGTCTGGTAGTTCCCTGACTTTCGAACAAAGGATCTTCATAGCAGCTTGAAAAGAACACTCCTTTCCTTAGTGCTTCCATAGAAATTAGCAGTACTGTAGGCTTCAACTTCTTTGACAAACTTCTTCCTCTTGTTGTTTCAAGTTGTAGCTTGATGTGGTTCTTTCATATCGATTAGAGTCTTCAGCAAAATTGCTTTTGTTGAGCCATCAAAGGCAATATTCATGTCGTCTTAACATGGCCCCCACCATTTCATGAGTCTGTCACCCTTGGTATTGCTTATCCTCCACCTCTTCGACCTGGGGAGGCTCCATCTGAAAAGGAAGCAGACGCGTCCGCCACAAAAGGAGGCAGACGCGTCCACCGCCAGAATGGGCAGAAGATCAGGCATATTGGCCACAAAGTAGGCCCTGGCCAAGTGCTTCTCTAGCATGAGCGATTAGAGTCTTCAGCAAAATTGCTTTTGTTGAGCCATGAAAGGTAACATTCATGTCGTCTGCCCCCACCATTTCATGAGTCTGTGACCCTTGAGGCATTGCTTATCCTCCACTTCTTAGACTTGGGGAGGCTCCCTCTAAAGAGGAGGTAGCGTCGTCCCTCAGAATGGACGGAAGATCAGGCATATTGGCCACAAGGTAGGCCCTAGCCAAGTGCTTCTTTAGCATAAGCATTTGTGGGAGTTGGATTGTTAATTTGCTCATTGTCACATTAAGATGAATTTTCTCTTCTGGAAGTGGGAGCATCTATGTTGGCTCAGAGATTTGGACGTACCATGACTCTTTTCCAAAAAAGGTAACAATCTCTCCCTCATTAAATAAAACCTTGCCAGCTCTGATACCTATTTACTGGAAGAAGCTAAGTGGATGCAAAGGAATAGGAGAGGAAGAGCCTGAAAATCGGGGTTTGAAGAAAGCCTTTGTGCTTTCTTGTGTGGTGTATATGGTTATTTTGGGAAAGGGGAAGGCAAAGCTTCAAAAGGAGGGAGAATGATGGTCTGTAACCGACGGCGCCTTTTCAGGCATCCCTGAACTCTCCAAATTTGGTGAAGTGACACGTTCCATACTATATTCTTCCCACATACTTATATTCTCCACACTTTTTGGGACTTTTTCATTGCATTCCCCATGATTCTTCTTAGGACTTCCTCATCGTGGATGGAGCACATTATGTGGTTCTGATCATTCTTTCAGAAGAAGACGTACACCTTAGCACCCGCTAGGTGTTCCAGGGCGCTTGGGCACCTCACCCAGGCTTAGGCGGTAAAAATAAGCGGTCCACCCCTGCGACTAGTTGATGGGCATTTTTGGGTGGTTTGATAAAAATAGGATTGTAAAAAGTGAGGTCTATGTTCAGTTCAAACTTAAACCCTATGCTAAACATAAAAATATTAGATTTTTGTGATTTCGATAGGATCTAAGGTTTTATCAAATAAATCGATTTAAATATCACCTGTCGGACTATAGATATTAGATGTGCCCCACAACTCTAAAGTGTTATTTCTTATTTTCTTTCATTTTTCTAATGATGAATGTCAATGTCTTATCTTGGATTATATTTCGTATTTTTAGTTTTTACTGTGTATGGATTATAGAGTGTTTGGAGTTTGGATTATGGTATACTCTAATACTTAATGGTTTGAAGTTTAAACTTCAATATTTGATTTTTGAATTTGAAATTTATGAAATTATGGATTAAAATGTTTCAATATGTATTTTAAATTTTTACACGAAACTAAAACAACTATTTATTCTATTGGGGTTCTAGGCGGCCTGGATTCTATGGAAGTTTTCGTTGTTCAATCATGAATTGGTATACCAAGAATCTTTAGCCAACATTATTTGTTACCCAAGTAAGATATAGGTTAGATTTTAGGGACCATCACTCAAAGGACCTCAATGATCTCTTAAACCTACCGAATTTCTGTATTACTATTCTATTTGCTTCAAAATCGGTTTTTGAACATTATAAGGGCTTCATTACCTTGATTGAATCTTAAGTGAAACTCACAACCCCATGGCTTAGAACACGAATCTCTGAAACCTTTTGAAGTTCTCTTGGAGTGCTGAAAGAACAAACCAGTTACCATCCAAGGAGCTTCCGAGGTTCTACAGTCAAAACACATGATTTTTGTGCTCTACTTGGCCTCCAAGCTCCTATAATCACCCTCCTTGCATTTGTCTCCACTCTCATTTTGAGCTAGAAGCCTGTGCGATAACCCAAATCTCGCCATTTTTTGGATCCTTACTCATTTTTACTTCTTTCGTTATATTGTCCTATTTGCCACTTTAGTTGGCACCTTATGCGTATTAACTATCGATCAATGCTTAGAACATCTTCAACTAAATATTTATTACTGCTCATAAACTGGTGCAATCATGTATCATGGTATTTGTGGTAATTGAGAAGGAAATGGACAACAATCTTGGACCTTTGTGCTTATATGTAAGTCTTATTTCAACATGTTTATAAGTAGCCGCAAATAACATGGTCTTATTCCCTAACAATTTTTGAAGTTATTTTTCTAAGACATTGTACACATTCAATGATTAATAAAACCTAAAATCTTGTCAACAAAAAAAAAAACAACTGCTCATCATCTCAATAGATTTCAGAAAGGCCACTTATTATACAATGGAGAAAAAAATAGAAAATTATTACATACTGATGACCCAAGCTGGGCTACCAAGTACTTGGGTGTTTCCATTTAGAGAAAAATAAATAACATAAATAGGCGTTAATCTCCAAACGCACCATTCACCGACCACAAGGCTCTAAACTCTTCTACTTCCACTATAGTGGACTATATTATTGTTCTTTTTTTGTTCAAAATTTTATGAATACCAAAATGATCATATATATGTTTGCAAACTTAAATCTTGACTTTATTGTCCTTGTCCCTGCAACATCAGCAAAAGTCAATCAGTAATAAAGCAAAAACAAAGAAACATGGCTAAGTTTTTAATGTGTCAAATAGCAAAATGATTGAAATATGAAAATTGGCATTATTGAGAAAGTGAAAATGACCATTATAATATGCATTATAGTCCCTTACAATAACATCTCTACTAATGGGCATTAACAACCGCAAGAATTTGCATGTTTTTGACCTTGTATATCATACATTTGTATTTCATTGCCCTATAACAACCAACTAATTTGAAACCCTTAAGAGAAATAACCGTAGAGGATTCCCCTTTCCCTTATGCCCTACATAATCAAATTGTACAAGTTCGATTATCAAAATTCATAATCTTCAATACAAGATATCGAAACAAGAGAAATGATCTTATAGGATCCTCTCCCATCTATGTGTATAAAATCCCAAGGGATTACCATTAAATTTGGTACGAATCTATAGAAAAATCAACTTTCGTTCTCATGTGATAATTTTTTTTAAAATCCGTGCTAACTTTAATGATGATCCCAAATAAAATCATGTACAAACCATGATAAACATTGAACTCTACACATACCAAATAAGAATATCCTCAGTATGTTTGAAATAAAATCCTTTACAAAACACGACAAACATTGAACTATACATTACATTGATATTTAATAACATTCAATTTCTCTAGCGTTCAAAATAGACTCATTTTCTTTCTTTAATAGTGTTAAGGACTCAAAATATGAGGTAAGTACCTACATTCCAGTAATATGAACCTACCATCTTCTCTTGCCCCCTGCATATCTCCATTATTAAAATAGGCTTTGTTGTTCTAAGCCTCCCCATTTTGAATATCCTACCCAATTGAGCCTTAAATTTGGCAACTTTTGTCTATGCTTTCACCTAATTTTGTTTGTATTACATAGCATAGCGATCACATGCTCAAAACATGGTCTGGCCAACGTCCTTTGCATGTGCTTCTAATATATGATGACACTTAATGCTATCTCCTATCTTGGACTAGACGATTGAACCTAATTTTGACTACGAATGTGAAACTTAACAAAAAGAAGTATAATGACTTGCAAAAGTAAAACATAAGAAACTAAGACCGCAACAAACAAAGAAACTCTTACCCAAAGCCAAAACTTCTTGAACCAAGATCAATGGGAATCTTAAAATAAAATTTAATCCTATACTTTATTAAGCAAATCTACTCGAAAGGAAATTACATCAAAAGAACTAGCTAAAACGGGTAGAGAGGCCCCTCCTTTAGCAAGAGAGTCAACCAAGAAATTCGCCGTGGCAGAACGAAACAAAGTAGAGAGCCAATTAGACCTCAGATTCCAAGGAATATGCATCTCTTTCTTGTACCATCTAATAGCATTCAAAGAGTCTCCTTCAATGATACATCTATTCTCAAGGTTTTTAAAGACAAATTTTTATACCTTGGAGCAAAGCAAATAACTTCGATTGGTTAGCTGTGGCTAAACTAATAGGGCCAGTATATGAAAAGATGACCACTCCAAAACAGTCACACAATACACCTCCAATGCCTATCAAACCTGGATTACCCAAAGAGCTCTCGTCAAAATTTAACTTAAAACCCCTGTCTCTGCTGCCATCCGATATGAAATTTGATAGCTTGAGTGTCACAAAGTTTGAAAAAATTCTTTTGGAACTTTGAGCTTAGTCAATGGAATAAATGCAACCATCCAATTTCACTAAGATTGGCTAAGATTGGCTCGGCATGGGCAGAGCTCAATCACCAATAGGGGCTAAGGCATTTTCATCATCTTTGTTTTTAGAATAAGATTTTGATGCAGCTCAAAATTGAGAAAAAAAAATCGAGAATAAATCAATAAGGAGAAGCGCGAACATGGGGAGTCAAAACCTCACGCACCATCAAGAGTAAACTAGAGACTCAACTCTTCTCTATCTCTCTACATCAAATCGTTTCGTTTAATCAAAATTCATCCCCTAATACATTATATGTACTTTTTTTAACACTTACAACGTACTTTTTTAAAACTCCATACAAAAAAAGAAGTCCATCACTTTAACATTAATCCTAATATGTGATTTCCATATACGTAAATAAGGGTGGCAATGGGTTGGATACGGGTCGGATTTGGTTGGACATGGATCCAAACCTAATAGTATTCGGGTCCAAGTTTTAGACCCATAACCATACCCATCGGGTCTTGGGTCTGATTGCACCGATTGCCACTCTCACTATGAGCTTCTTTCTTCTTATGTTTTCCATGTTTTTAATTATCATATACCCGTATTATCAACACGATCACAATCACCCGTCATTAGATTTCAAGCTGTCTGATGACTACGAATTCTTATTGTATACAATTTTTAATATACACAAACGAAGATGGCTTAAACTAAAGCATTTTATCTCCAACGGTTTATGGGTACAGGTTGGGTCCAGTTGGACCCAGACCCGAATAGTGTTAAGGTCCAAGTTTTGAACCCGGACCCAACCCGTCGGGTCCAAATGCTGGACCCATACTTGGAGCCATATCGGGTACACCTAGTAGGTCCCAGGTCGGGTCCGGGTCCATTGCCACCCCTAAACATGAACCATGTTCGTATCCAAAAGATAAGGAAATAATTTAATAAAGAAAAAGAAAATGCCAACTCAACTAATACTTACTAAAAGGAAACATACTTGCTTTATCTTCCTAAAACAACCAAGCAAAAACAGACTCATAAAAAAATTAGATATATCTCAAAAAAAAATTAGACTTGTCAAATTAATCCAAATAATCTTTAGACTAATCATATTTTTAACAATGAACCATATAAATAATAATAAAAGATACCATAAAAAAAAAGCAAAATAAGTTTTTTCAAAAAACAAAATATAAAACTCCTAAAATAAATATAATTCCTAAAAACTAACCTAAAAATCTGCCCCCATCTCTAAATATAAAATAAAAAAAAATAAAATTAAAATTTTGTAGCAATCAAATCTTGATATGCATCATTCTTCCCTAGTTGGATAAAACTCGACCTCAAGTTTTAAAATGCGTTAAGATAATTTTTTCAATAGAGCCTCGCAACCTTCTTTAATTCGAACATTATAAACACGAACATGGGATTTATGGGTTCTTGCACTAATCATAACACAATGATTGTGTATTAAAAATGATAAACCCTCGAGAAAAAGATCGATATTAGGCACATGAACTTGCTAAAATTGCTTAAGCTTATCCCTAGGACACAACACATGTGCATCTCTGAGATGAGCACTATATCCAATGGTCGAACCAGCTTTGCCTATTGATTCTCCTTGGAGTCTTTTTTTTTTCATCAAATATAAATTCAACCACGAAATCTTGATCATCGTCGTAGATCATATCTCTTACAAAATCTTGTTCATCATTTAAGTACGTATCACATTTAGTAGAAATCTCAATCTACAACCTACCAATATTCGATACGAACTTAACAAAAATAACCTTGTTCTCCTTCAATCATGTAAATCAACTAAATCCCATGATCTACTCTCCCAAACATGGGACTCCCGACGCGGAGCGTGTGCATAGAACAGGTTCTTGAAAACAACGTCCGACTTACAACCATCATAGTGTGTTACAACGAGATTTTCCGCCATGTGATGGGTTAACTTCTCTACATGCCTTCTCAAATTTTCTATCTCTATATCCCGAATGTCTCGCTCTAGTCGGATCGGCTCATTCTCAATAGCTACCTATTGAGCACGTCCACAAAGCACGATGCCTTTTCAATGAGCATTACGATCTCACAAAAATCGATGCTCTGATACCACTTGACGCAGCTGAAAATTATCAGGCATATCCACCGTGCTTTAGAGGGAAATAAGAAAAGTGAAAATCAATCAACAAGAAGAAGCACAAATGGAAGTAGTTGAGACCTCACACACCATCAAGAGTAAACAAGAGACTCAACTATTTTCTCTCTCTATCTCAAATATTCTCATTTAACCAAAATTCACCCCTTAATACATTGTAAGTGTTCTTTTTTTTTTACACTTACAACTTGCTTTCTAAAACTCCCTACAAGAAATTCACCACTTCAACATTAATCTTAATAGGTGGTCTCCATATCATGCGAACCATGTCCTTATACAAAAGATAAGGAAAGAGTTTATTCAAAAAAAGAAAATACGAACTCAACAAATGCTTACTAATAGGAAACGTACTTTGCTTTATCTTCCTAAAACAACTCAACAAAAACGGACTCATAAAAAAATAGCCTATCAAATAAACCCAAAGAATCTTAAACTAATCATATTTCTAACAATTAACTCTTACAATAAATAAATAAAAGACACCATAACAAAATAACAAAAGAAGTTTTTCCCCAAAAAAACAAAACGTAACCGTAACTCCTAAAATAAATATAATTCTTAAAACTAACCAAAAAATCTAACCACATCTCTAAAAATAAAATCAACAAAAATAAAAATAAAATTTTGTAACAACCAGATCTTGATTTGCATAAGTCAAGATTTTAAAAAGGATGAACAACAATGCTTACAAGGCCGCTTTGCCTTTACATATAGAGATCGTTAAGGTATCGTGGTTTGGAGGTGCATGAAATGAAGATTTGAACTTGAGGGCGAGTTCTCCTCAACCAGAGGAGAATGATGATGGTGATCAAAGTACAATAAGTAACCACGAGTATCTTCTTTGGGAGTGACAGATTCTTCCTAATTTTCATCATATTTGGATGATGAAAACCTTAAGAGGGCTTCCAAAACGTACTTTGCATAAAAAATAGTTAAGATTTTTTTTAGTTTTTTAGAGTATTTCAAATGTTTTTTCATTCATTTCATTACTGGACCAGTTAGATATGTTTTAGATATTTTAATTAAAGTTAGAGAATTTAATTTCAAATTATACTTAAATTAGGACTTCTTGATCAAAAGTTAATTATATGGACAAATATTGTCTAAAACAATAATTTTTCAATATAAATAAAAGTGTGGACGGGCTGGAAAGGCATTCACGAATTCCTCTTTTAAGAAAAGAAATGACTTTGTCTTAGACAATTAAAGCTTGAGCCCTAAGGGAGAGAGAGCCTTATAAATTCTTCAAAATTGCTTGCGTCAATGCTTTCTTGCTAATTATTTATATTTCTTCGAGTTCTCTACATCAGATTTTGTTTTTATGTGCTTGGGTCAATGGCACCGGTCCCCAAAATTCCAACTCTAATAAAATAAATAAACATAAAAAGTGGCCACACATGTTGGCAGATTTACTACGATTTATTCTAAATCATACGACACAACATTGGCTGATGGCTCATATAATCATGTTCCCCACATATTTTATGTGTATGTGTATTTCACTTCTATGCATTTAAAATTACTTGACTATAAATATTTTAAGTTATCCTTCTTTTATTCTATGCATTTAAAATAAGTAAAGGCACTTTTTCATCCAAAGGATTTTTGGTGAGATGAGGGTTAAGTATTACTTGTGACTCAACTAAACCTTATTTGATCCTTATATAAATTAGTAAACATTTTTATGAGAGAATAATAGAGGAGAATTATAGTTTTGAGTCTTGGGAACAGAGTTGTTTTGGTGTGGGTTCCCTAGCAGACCCACCATCATATTTTTTTGTGTTTTTTTTCCTATTTGCATGCTCTCTATCTCTGCATCATTGTTAGAGCTTAGAGAAAGACCTAGTTCAGCAGGACACCATCAAAGCATGTATAGACAAGACGGATCCAATCATGGAGCCCATGGATCAAATATTAAAAAGTTTTCAGAGTACAAGAAGTGTTCAGCATATTAAAGCAACACATGGAACAAGAGTGCAGTGAAGGGGTAGAACATAATATTCAACCTCTAACCCACAAAGCATAATAATCCTATAAATCAATATGGATGTAAGGCATCAAATACAAGTTTTGGAGCGAGTACAAGATTTTAGCATCAAGATCGATCTTTCAAAATTCTATGGTTTCCTATTTTACATGAATTCTTCTCTTTCATTGCCGTACCCATGTCAAACATGTATTGACACACATATCAACATAGATTCTTTGGATTCTTCTTGTTTGTTAACCACTGGTCGCATCATTTTAAAGACTTGATATTCTTTTTTGTTTTGAGTGGACGTGTAACTTTGAAATGTCTATGAAACTATCTAGTATCTGTGAATTCTGTCAATTAAGGCATAGTTGATTCTCTAGTTCCTCATAATAAACTGGAATATCAATCAAAACATTGTTGGAATTGGTTCTCTTCATAATATAGCCGTGTCGCCAAATCCTCTTCTTTGTGGCATGAGGAATCCCGAATCCTGTACCCATGTCAAATACTAACAGACATATGTGTCCATGAAGAATAGATGACTTGTCATGGATATGCCCCAACTTTATAGAATCAACTTCAGAAATCGCAAGTTCAATGTGAAAGGTGAATATTTCCAGTTGAATCGGAATGAATATCAGCAGGAAAAAATGATTTCCTTAAGCTCAGGAGAGCTTCTCCTCAATCTTGAGGGAATGACGTAGTTGGTTCCTAGGGAAATTGAAATCAAGGTTAGTTTGGTCTTTAATTTTGTAAAGAATAGGGTATCCCAATCTTAATTGTTCTAGAGAATCTAAGGGTAATAAGCAAATTCTATTAGGGTGGGATTAGGTTCAAGATTACTTGTGGGATGATTCAAATTCTAGGTTTCTTATTTTTTACATATTTGTTTTAGCTTTTGTAAGGGAAGGATTTGAAACTAGAGTCAAAGATATTTTCTCTCTGCTTTTTGTATCAAATGTTTAGGTCCCCTTCACGAGAACTAGTAATAAAACAAATAATTAAAAAAAGAAACAAAGAAAAAAAAAACGAAATAGAGCAATTTACTTGCCCAATCTATTCTCTCTCTCTCACTCTCTCTCTCTCTCTCTCTAATCACTCAAGTAGTGTGCAAAATTTTCATCTTAAGATTTATAGTTTTGATTCTCCACTATCAGTTTTGGGTTAAATACTCTTATATGCTATGGAGCCTCAATAGACATCAAAAAGTGGATCTTGAATAATAAAGAAAGAGACAAACTCACATATATGTTTTAGCTTTTGTAAGGGAAGGATTTGAATCTTGACTCAAAAGTATTTTCTCTCTGCTTTTTGTATCAAATGTTTAGGGCCCCTCCACGAGAAGTAGTATCAAAAGAAAAGATTTAAAAAAAGGGAATAGAGCAATTTACTTGCCCATTCTACTCTCTCTCTCTCTCTAATCACTAAAGTAGTGTGCAAAATTTTCATCTTAAGATTTGAAGTTTTGATTCTCCACTATCAGTTTTGGGTTACATGCCCTATGCTAAGGAGCCTCAATAGGCATCACGAACATGGAAAAAGTGGCTCTTGAATAATAAAGAAAGAAAGAGACTCATTCAAGGTTGAAAAATACTAGTAGTAGGAGGAAATTTCAAGAATTAAGAGAAGCATGGTTTCGACGAGGCCCACCTCCAAAATACCATAAGGGTGAGAATATTGGATTTTATGTCCAAGCATGGGCAATTCTTTCTTCGGCGTTTGGATGTGGTGACAAGCTGGTTTCTTTATTCAACCTGTTCACAATAATGGCATCCGTTTGGGTCACGTCACTGTGCCTCATTATGGCACCCAAGTGACACCCAACGTGAGCAACCAAATATGGATTCAATCCCCAAGTTCAAAACCCTTTGCAAGTTCAAGAGTCTGCCTATGATTATCGGAGAGACCCATTCCTCGGCTTGCCAAAGTGAAGGAACTAAAAACTACAAACTAAAAAAAAAAAACCGAGACAGGGTGAAAAGGAATGATAAGTCCAAGTGTGGACATGCTAAAGCAAAATCCTTTGTAATGTTGAGACACAGAGTCAGTCAAAAACCAAAGCAAAGCAAAGAAAACCGAAGCAATTCAACAGGTTATTGTTTATCAGCCTGAACAAACACGACTCTAGTATGGTTGCATGAAATTGCTAAACACACTTCCGCTTGGGCTTGATTGGTTAAGGTGTTGACTTCTGCAACACTACACCCACATTCAAATCCTACCTATGAACCACCCAAATAAAATTCTGCAGAACAGCATTCTTTAGAGGGCACTCGAATGTTGAAATAAGAACCAAAACTCCATGAAATCTATCTCAACAGGTCACATCAACCCCTAAACTCTTGCACAGGAGAGTATCCCTACAACAGCTTAACTAAGCCTATAAAATAGATTAGACAGCGGTAAGCTGATCATAATCAGATTAGCAAGTTGTTGGACTGATTGGCAATCCGAAACATAGAAAACTCAATTTTAGAAAACCCAAACACCAAACATAATAAATAATATAAATAAAAATCTCAAATAAATCATTTAATTAAAATGAAAAATCTATGCAACCAATTCTAAATCTTCCATACGCCTGGGCATCACCAAGACATCATGCTCACAATCTCAGTAAGCATATGCAAACATTGAATTTTCACCACGATCAGAGTAAAAATTTAAATCCACATCAATTGTGAAACATCATAATAGTGTGGTGTCCCAACCATCGTAATGGATTAAGAACGAAATTGAAAATTGAACTGTCTTCTAAGGAAAGAACTTCTCCAACAGATTCCCATATGTAATCCCCTCGATCCTTCCATTAAGTTCAAGCTGCCATCAAAATGAATTAGACTAAAATCTTTGAAGAGCCTGCTCCAATCCTTCCCCATTGAAAAAATATCCTAGAATGCTAGCGAAGGGTGGCATCCCCTATTCTAAGTAGTGCTATTGTCTTGGGCCTAGGATCTCAGATCGAATTGCTCATTGGGCCAGGCCAGAGCCAATACCCTTAGGCCGATCAGGCCCTTGCATTATTTATATTTTCAAAAGGTAGAAGTATGCAAAATTTAGGCTTGGTCTTCATTGGTTAAGGTGTTGGCTTTTGCATTGGTCCCAAGCACTAATCCAATCACTAAACCACCCAAAAAAAATTCTGAAAAAATTCTCACTCAACCAGGTATGCAATTGGGGAGCTTTTTGCAAATTGAAGAATAAAACCGGACCAGGCCAGGCAACATGGCAACAAGCTGCTCAGTTATCAAGACCAAACTGGTCCAAGCAATCGGACAGCCACCCATTGCCTTGGCTAGTCTAGTCTAAAGCCAAAAACCAAGTTTAGCAAAACACTAGTCAAAATTAATGTCAGCTTTTGTCAATTGGAATAGTTGGTTTTGACTGGTCGGACCGGGTAAACAAAGTTGGGCATTTTCATTGATATTATTTTATACTTATTAAACTATCATTCTTATTTTTTATTTAGTTTTTTGAAAATCCAATCCAACCGGTTCCATTGGAGGTCGAACCGTTTAGGGCACGACGTCACCTCTCGCTGGTTTGGTGGCCGGTCTAATCGTGATAGCATGGACGGGCTGTGACTGGGACAAGGCACTTGAGCCTATCTCGGATTCTGTTAAGGCCCCAAGCACAAGGCTAAGGTCAACCAAGGCCTTTCTAATTGCTGAAGGGTCTGGACTTGGAAAAGGTCCAGCCCGTGATATCTAGGCTTGATCCCGAGCATCGCCCAAGCCTAGATGAGAAAGGAAAAGGGTTGTGTTAGGTTGGCAGCCAATAAAAAATTTATGCCACATCCCAATCATGAATCCTGATCCAATGAATGTGGGAACATGCTTCATGTAGCCGACCATAAATCGTTGGGATAAGGCACATACGACGATGATGATCCTAGGCAGGACACAATGCCTAGATGGAAAAAGAGAAATAAAAATAAAGTAGTCAACATGGATTGAGTCAGCATAGAATTCATGTCTAGGATTTAGTGTTCCATCTACCAACGTTGTAATCGGTGAAGCTAGTGCCCGAATCCTAAAGAGGCGAAAAATATTAAAGCATGAAACAATGCAACAAGGGCCTGTTGGGCCTTATAGCCAAGGCCTCTTAATTTGCCACTCCTACAAAGCTTCGCGAACCATTTTGGGCACCCAACTGCAGCCCATCAGACTGTCCCAGCCAATTACAGCCCTAACCCCAATCAGCCTAGTCCACTTGAGAACTCATATTTTGACATTGTACAACTTCACCAATATCAAAGAAGGGTGCATCTCAGGCCTTCACTCTCACATAAATTCATTACATACTTCGCAAAATATGGAGGATAGTAAGAATGAGGAAAAAGCCCCAAACCCCTATAGGGTTTATTCTTTGAGAATTGCATACACCCCCAAATTCTAGGTCTATATGTAACTCCATAGTGCAATTAACCTGCTTTGGCCTGATAGGAATATGCGAATCTCTAAGGTAAAAGTTCAGGACACACTTCATTGGCTCGGGCCCCTTAGAAGTGGAAGTTGATTCACTCAACATTTTCAAGTGGCTAGAAGCACAATAGGTTTCATTGTGTATGATGAATGAAAACTTGATTCTGCGAAGTCCATTGTGGATATCATTCCACCATATACCACGGAGGCTGACTTCTTGTTGGTCTTCAATGCAGTGAACAGTTAGAGTCTTAGAGACAGGAGATCATTTTGATATCTCTTCAATTTTTTCTTTCTTCTCTCTTTCTAGTCCTCTTCTTTAACTAACTCCCTAGCCCATAAGATCACCATGATTCTCACATGCCGACTTTCCTTTATGTATATATGTGTCTACACTTTGTGCAACTTGTTGTATACTTCTACCAGTGATATGCTAAATAACAAGAACTCTAGATAATTCATGTCCTTGATTCATTTGATGATATTGCATATTAAAGCCAATACATAGAGAAGCCAAAACAAGTCTGCAAGCAAACAACTGCATATTTGAATAGTTGTCAGGAGTTGTTAAGTGTTTTAGGTAAATTTGTTATACATACTGATGAGAACAATTCTGTGCATGTTTGAAGTGTTTTCAAGTGGATAACGATAGTCTAGTCATACTATTTTCAAGTTTCCAACTTGTCCAAGATAAGGCATCTAGAAGTGTCATCAAGTGGATAGTCTAGTCATACTATTTTTTATTTTCCGACTTGTCCAAGATAAAGCATCAAATCCAATTCCAAAACAAAAGGAATCATAATTCAGCATATAACACAATGCGGGCTACATTTACCTGGACACCTCCATATATGGATACAGAGGCGAAATAAATTGAATGCCCAAATATGAAAGGAGCTTAAAAGAAGACAATGGTCACACTTCTAACAAAGCACAATGAAATCAATTTATATTTGTCCATGCTGGAAGCAAGCTCTTTATTCTCTCAAGTGCACAAAATCCAAAACAAAACATGAGCACATGCTTTTGAGATGTCAATATAGAAAGAAGCAATTTCCAACAAATTCTTGAGCACTTATAAGATACCTTGTTCCTAATTTGCATATCAGATACCAATTGAGAACTATTAGTGAACAGAAAAGCCAAATATCATACTTTCTTTGTTCTGTTGATGAGTGCATAGTTCATATCTAAGCAGATCAATAACTAGTATTAATCTGAAACTTGCACAGCTAACTAAGGATGCACCAAAAAGTTCTAGAATTGCAACAATAAAAAAGGATGCTACAGTAACAATCGAAACAATAGCGTACTTGAGTTCTGTGATCAACTGTCGAGCTTCTCTAACAGCTGCACTCACACTGTATAAAACCATCTTCTTCACCTGTGCAGAAGGAAGTTTAGCCCATTATCCTTTATGAGCAAACAATTGAATCAGTTACTCATTCCCATTAAAGCATCAAAAGGTCAACAAGTTCTAACCTGCTGTCAATAAAGAGAACCACTAGTTTCTGATTGCGCATTGAGGGGAAGTATAACATACACCACCAGCATATGCTATATGGTATGCCATAACAGCATCCACCATCAATCAATGGGGACTACAACAAATCTCCACCATCCATCATCGGGACTGGATGACAGATGGCCCCATGATGTACCATAACACCATAGAACACTGATGTATAGTATACTTTCCCATACATTTGATGTTTGATTATTAATATTTCAATAACTGATGATCTGGTCCTCCCCTTTTACTTGCCAGAAAATATCACTATATCAATTAATAGCAGTTCTTTCCTATTCAAAAGAAAATCATATTAGCAGCAAAAATATCATATTTCACTTCAGGCGAAATATAACTTTGATAAGCAATAAAAAAAAATTTAGAGATCCATCTCCCAAATATAGGTCAAACATAACCAAGCAGGATGGCATCAAGAATCAAATTGTACTAAAAAGCCAATAGCATTCAACTCTTATTTCATAGAATGGTTACAATCTTATTTATAGTACATATGATGTTCATATAAACGAATGGAGATTGTATTATCTATCTAGGCAATCAAAGGTTACAAGCTCTACTTTTATTCAAAAAAAAAAGAAGGATACAAATTTACTAAACCCCAAGAAATCTGTAGATAATGCACAAATTAAAATATGCTTAATTGCTATGCTGAGGTACCTCTAATTTATCTTCCTTGGCCCTATGGCTTTTTGGAAGCAACCGAAACTCTTCTGTCAATCGAACACATTCTTCGACATTGTCAGGAGATACAAAGTCCAGAGCCACTTTAATGCATGACTGCAGAACAACAGAGGAATTCCCCACTCAGATTACATGATCATTGCAATCTAGCACATTTTTTCTTTAATAACTATAATCGAGTTAGCTAAATATAACAGATAATGATAATTGTAATTGTATAACAATTGCTCAAAGCACAAAGCCGGAACAGGAAGACAAGTTAGAAAATATCTTTTAAGTTGTAATTAGTCAAAGCAACATCCAAATTGAGCAAAATATCAAAGAGCTTAGCTTATAAAATGGTCTCTCATAAACAAATTACTTTAAAATCACTAGCCGGAAAGTAATATCTATCTATTATATATTAAGCGAGAGCAACACCCCTCTTATTATCGCGCCACATGTCTTTTTTCATTCAATTCCTATCTCTCTCTCCATCCCACATTTCTACACTCTCTCTCTCTCTCTTTTATTTCTCTTAATTTACTTTTACTTTCCATCTCTCCTACGTTTCTCCATTATATCTCTCACTCCATCGTACATGCATGGAAATACATAAAATAGGTAACTCCTTTGGTTGTGTGATGATGCCTCATCTTCTCTCCATCTCCACGTTTCTGTATTTAGCTCTCTCTCTCTCTCCATCCTGCATGCATGAAAATACAAATAGGTAACTCCTTTAGTTATGTGATGCCTTATCTTCTCTCTCCCTCCCAATTAAAACCAAACTAAATTTACTCATCGTTTCTTCTCTCCCACTTTTCTATATTCTCATTCTCATTCTCTCTCTCCCTACATAAATGCAAAGCAGTGTTTGCAAAATCGAACCGGAACGGTTAACCGGAAGCGGTTTAACCGGCCTAATTTGTAAATTGGCCAATTCAACCATTCTACCCAGACAAGTTCCGAGTGGCCAAAAAAATTCTTGAAAAAATAAAAAGATGCAAAAAAAAAAACTACTAAAATATGAAAGCATATAAATAATGATTAAAACAAAACACATTCAAATGAAGTTGAAAATTAATGAAAAAAATGGATTTTAAAAGTGAGTATTAATGACCAAAATAATTTTTAATATTTACCATAATATAAAAATATTAAAAAAATGTAATACAAATCAAATTCCTTATGTTTAGGATTTTATATACATTTTTTTGAATTTTTATTTTTAAAATACCAGTCGATCACCAAAACCGCCCGAAACCAAAAACGACAAGGGGCTGATTCCGATCTAACTGGGCAATTATCGGTTAGATCGCCTGGTTGTTCTAACAATGATGCAAAGGCATAAAAATAGGTAACTCATTTTTTAATATGATGACACCACATCTTCTAGGTAACTCTTTTTTTTTATTGTGGTGACGCCTTATCTTCCCTCTTTCCCCAATTTAAGTAAATTCCTTTCTCTCTCCAATTTAAATAAATTTGTCTCTCTTATCATGATTTACTCTCACTCCCTCCCACATTTCTCTTTTCTTCCCACATTTATCTCTACCATATTTATCTTCCTGTACCACATACCTCTCTCCCACATATCACTCTCCCATCTTTCTCCTTCCTATGTTTTCTCTCCCCGTCACAATTCTCCTACCCACATTACGCTCTCTCACACACATGCATACCACAACTCTCTCTCTCTTCTCTCCCTCTCTCATGCATGCCACAAGTGCTCTCTCTCAATTTTTAACATGTGCTTCACCCAACAAATGTGACTATGCTAATTCTCTCCAAGGCAATCATATGTTTTTCCTCTACATAGGTATGTTGATTTTCATTTTCTTTTGATATTGTATATTGTCTGGATTTCTGTTTTTTCTTCTTTTTTTTTGGTTTTTCTATTCCAGGAACCCATAGATGAAGCCCATCTACACGCCATGGAAGAAGAAAGAAAGATGTTTATAGCAGCTTTGGCTACTTTGAGAGAGAACCTAGATGAGTCTTCATTTGGCTGCTCATTGGATATTAGAGTTCTTCGGTATTAATTTTGCCTAGAAGTGTGTGTGATGTTTAATATAAGAACTAAATAATTTTAATTGTTTATCGGTTGTACTTTTATATGTAAGCAATCATATTTTTTTCCTCTACATAAGTATGTTGATTTCTATTTTCTTTTGATATTGTATATTGTCTAGATTTATGTTTTTTATTCTTTCCAAGAACCCATCGATGAAGCTCAGTTACACACCATGGAAGAAGCAAAAAAGATGTATCTAGCAGCCTTGGCTACTTCGAGAGAGAACCTAGATGTTTTGAGAGAGAACCTAGATGAGCCTTCATATGGCTGCTCATTGGATATTAGAGTTGTTCGGTATTACTTTTACTTAGAAATGTGTGTAGTGTTTAATGTAAGAAATAAATAATTTTAATTGTTTATCAGTTGTACTTCTATATGTGCAATGAAGTTATGCTCATAGATTAAAATACACCCTAATAAAATGTATTAGTTGTCATGCTTGGACCCATGCAAAATTTCATGAAGATGAGTGAATGTTACATCATCAGCGTTGCATTAAGCGAATTTTCATTTTTTATGTGATACTCATTGTTTAATTGCAGCAATTTATTTTTTTGATATATGCATCATATAACTATAGTGTATTTTTAAGAAAATAATAATCTCTTGGTAATAAATATATTTAATACTACAATTGTAACTATTTAGTTATAAATACTAATAGTAACAAAAATAAATTAGTTTTATTACAATTTTCAATAATAATTATTTAATTATTATAAAATATGTACTAATATAAAGTCTCACATTTTTCTCTCTATTCTCTCTCTTCACCAATATTCTTATATAACCTACTCTCTCTCTCTCCTAATAAATCAACTTTCCTAAAATCTCTCTCTTAATAAATATCCTCTCTTCTCTCTCACCAATATTATCATGTACCTCCACTCTCTCTTTCCAAATAAATCAACTTTCCTAAAATTTCTCTACCTCTCTCTCCCACATTTCAAAACTTCTCTCAACCCCCATTTACACATATTACACTTTATTTTCCTTCATATTTCAATAAAAACTTTTTCTATTTAGTGAGAGGTTGAATGTATGATATAAAATGTAGCTTTCTATCTCATGAAAATTTCTTTCATATATTTGAAATCATTAATGCTATTTGTTTTCAATTTTAAAGAAATTTTTTATATTTTGTGTAAAAATATTTAATTTATATTAATGAATGATATAATTGTAAATGTAAAAAAGTAGGAAAAAACATAATTATCATTAACCATAAATACAAATTATAGAGGTAATAACAAAGTTGAAATTATTTTGTAGAAATAACTACCTCAAAATCAAGACACATTAGTAAATAAAAAATTAAAATTTATAGTATCACTTTTTTTTTATAACTGTTAACATTTGCATTGAAAAAGAGAGATAGATACAAGGGAAGAAGGCAATCCAGGAGTGCCTAAGAAGTAGGACTCCTGATAAAAAATGGGTCAAGAAACCGTAATCAAAATGGGGTTATAAGATATCCCCTTACAAAGTAAAGTATAAGTGTACAAAAAAGATACAAAAGGGGGCAAGGAAGAGACTCAAATAAAAGGCACAGTCCCTTTGAGCTCCGCAAAAAGCTCATAACAACACTAATCTTCAGCGCAGGCCCCAGCTCCGTCCTTAGCTAGTAGATCGACGAACCCGTTCCAAAATTTATAGTATCACTATAATTAGTAATTGCAAAAAAAAAAAACTCTTCCGATTTGCTTTATTCATTTCAGTTTCTCTTCTTCTATTTCTTTCATTTTCTATCTATACATTTTTTATAATTTTCAAAATTCAAAATAAAATAAAAAAATTTACTATCATAAAAGTAGAAAAATAAATAATACCAACACTATGATTAGTTTTGATTGCAATAGATACTTGTGTATTATAATTTTATTATATGTATCATAAGACATTTTTGTTCTAATTTTTTAATAATTTTTATTTATAAGTGAATAATATATGTCCTTTTGTAATTAAAAATAAAATTAATTATATAAAAAATAATATAACAAAAAATATAAACAACAGAAAAATAATTAATAACAATACAAATTATATAAGTTAATAATATAGTAAAACTTATATTGCTAAATGAAAAAAAAGAAGAGATAATTTCTTTATTGTTTTTCCTTTTTGCATCTTTAGTTTTGTTAATTTATCAAAATAATACTAACTTATAAATAAATAATATATATATTAAGAGTAATGATCCTATGAGACCTCTCACACCCATGTGTGTAGAACCCCAAAGGATCACCATTAAATTTGACACAGATCTCTAGAAAAGTTATCACATGGGTGTGAGACTTGACTTTTCTAGAGATCTGTGCCAAATTTAATGGTGAACCTTTGGGGTCCTACACACATGGGTGTGGGAGGGTCTCACAAGGTCATTTCCCATATATTAATACAAATAAAAATAATTTAGTGAATGATATAATTAAAAAGAAAAAAACATAATAAGGAAGTATTTGGGCTTTGGTTTGACCCATAAATGTGCAGAATGCATTAAATTATAATATGAGAAAAATATTCACATTTTTGTATTCACTGTATTGTTTCTCAATTATTTCTATTAAATAAGACGGACAAAGTAGGACTATCTTCTCTCTCTATAATTATGTGAAGATGAAACTATTAGAAGCTCTCTCTCTCTCTCTCTATATATATATATATATATAATCAAAAGTCCTGATTAAATTATTATTTTAAAATAAAAATTTATTTTTATAAATAATAATTAATTTCATGTGCAACGCACGTGCATATCACTAGTAATTTTCAAGGAAGGCCCATGTTTACAGGATTCTTGTAATGGGATAATGTTTCCATGCCCTACAAACAAACACACACACCCGAATAGAGAAAGAGCGAGAGGCAATGGCCAAGACTTATGGCCACATGCTGAGAGACAACTAAGGCAAGGGGTAAAGGAGTGGTTGAGTTGGACTGGAGGTGGGGCCAAAATCACAGGGAAAGGAACATAAACTATCAATTACGATTCATAATTCTTTAAACTCTGCAGTTAGTAAAATTGTTTTGAACAAGTGGCCCTTTCATTAACTAACTAGTCTAAAATAAGTGGCATATCTGCAATACGTTTTGAACTATTCTATTATTTATGATAGAGATAAGTAAAGGCCGGTTGCAGGAGGGCTTGCAATGTCTATGGATGGGTTGGTCACTGGGGGAGCAAGTTGCGAGTGCACAAGGAATACAGATTACCATGTTTTAAAAAGCTGATGCAAAATTTGTAACTTGACCGTTTTAACTTGCTGAATTGATTCAACCCGGTGTCAGTACTGTTAGTTGAATTATCATCTTTAGTGCCAGTTCCAGGAAGTATCCCATTGAAGTATGCAGACAAGTACAGTTTCCTAGCATCCCAGAAGATATGGATTCACAATAATGCGTTCTGATGAGGATAGAGCATGTGAATCAAATTTCCATTTGAGATGATCGATTGAGAGAGAGTGAAATACATAGAATGATTCAAAGTTTTAAGTCTAATATTTCCATACTTTGCCTGCAATTAAGAAAGAGCTATTTACCTTTCTATTCCTCACTTGATGGGGACAACCAGCTGGAATAAATACCGCTTCACCAAAGTGTTGCTCAAAAGTCCAAGGTTCAATATCTACAGTATGAGCAGATAGAACATCAGGCTTATGAAAAGGATATCATTTATCTTAATAACCAAAGTACAGTTCAATGTGAAAGAAGCATAAGACTTACTAAACTCCTCTTTAAGCTGTTTCTTGTGCTTTTCATTCAAGTAAAGTGTCTGGTCATGAATAGGATGAATAACCTGAAGCAACAAAAAATATCAATTCCATACAAAAGAGAGAAAACACCACCTAAATTATGCACTCATGTTAGTCACCTGCATGATACTCACCGAGTTCACAGGAAGATTGCTGATATGGCGAAATTCCTTCCAATGCTTTTCGAGATATTCTATTAACTTTGGAACGTCCTGCCTCCGGAAAATATCCCAAACAGCGCCTCCATAAACAACATCTGAAACATCATCTTGGTGAACAAAGCCATTCACTAAAGCTTCTCCACTGGATTTAGAAGCCTCAGCCCTATCCTCTTCCGAAACGCCTGATGTGCCTTCCGCATTATCAGCATCCTTATCTGGTGTTACTTCAAAAGAATGAACTTCAGCTGGCGAAAGGCTGTGAGATCTCTGTGGCTCTACAACTTCGGAATCGTTCCTTGTACTAGAGGATGCCTTCATCTCAATTTGTTGATGACCTAATCTCACTGGATAAATGTCCATCTCTTCTGACAATGGTGATTGTTCCTCAATCCTGTTCTTCCATTCTGAACAACCTTCTCTCATCTCAGATTCAGTGTCATTCTGACCTAATTCTTCAGACCCATCCAATCTCTCTGGGCCAATGTCCATCTTTCTCAACAATACCAAATTTTCCACATTACTTTCCACACACTTTGAAAATTCAACTCTCATCGCAGATAGATTTGCATCTGAAAATTTTGTCTCAAGATCCATTTTTGGATCTAATTTTTCTGAGCCACCTAACCACTGTCGATCATTATCTATCTTTACTGACAATGGTAAATTTTCTTCACTACCTTCAGATTTTGAACAGCCTTGTGTCATCTCAGATTCATGGTCATCTGAAATTTTTGTATAGATACTCATTTTTTGATCTAGTTTTTCTGGTACAATCTCTAAGTCCATCTTCTCTGGCAATGGGAAGTTTCTGTCGACTTTATCACCACATTTTGGAGAGAGAGATCCTTTATTCGCTGTTTGGCCCCTACCTATATCTGAGTTGTCCACCTTTTCCTCAGCAGCGTTATCCACAGCCTTGTCTGCCCCACCATACAGTTCAATCTCATCTTCCTCTTCATGCCTATGTTGCATTTGTCTAATTCTCTTCCGTTGCCACGATGCAAACTTCACCTCCTTTGTATGGGTTAGAACATTAACCTAAAAATGAGCACCAAGAAAAGAATGAAACACATTAACAGTAAGACAAATTAAAAAGTGAAAACATCCAGTAGCTGAGTGCAAGTGGAACACCTTCATGAAACTTGAAACTTCGAAAAAGTACCTGGACAGGTCAGTTTTCTCAGAGTATAGCTACTTCAAGAGAATTACTGAATCACACCTAAGAGATGGACTATTTAACATCTCCCCCAATCATCATAGAACACATCATAAAGCATCACAACGTTTGGGTGGGACACTTTCTAATTTTGCCTCAAGTGAGCCCAAGTGGACCCACTTAAGTCACTCAGGCTCAGCACGCTGCCAATCCTGGAACGCTCCCTCTACTCTGGAGTAGAGGGGGTACTAAACACTTACTCGCCTGAGTTGCTTTAGTAACTTAGGTGACCTGGTGAGTTTCTGAGACACTCGCTTGTTCTGTCATAAATTGAAGAGTCCATTAGGTTAACCGATATAAACACAATCCCTTACCGACCCCCCCACCCACCAAAAATATATATATAAGTAAATAAATAAATAAAAACCAGTTAGCGTGGTTGGCTAGATTGGTTTTCTTGGGGCTAGAAAATAGAAATATTTCTCAACCAAGCATATATTTCACTGGGGGTTGCCTCGACTGGTTTTCTTGGGGCTAGAAAACAAAACTCTTTCTCAACCAAGCATATATTTGCCCTGAAATTTGGGTTTACATTCATTTTTATACTCTCTATCTGTTAGAAAAAATAGATTCGAAAGAAAAACAACAAATTTCAAACTCGAATTTGGCTAAAGTTCAAAAATTTACAATTTCTACGCATCTCTAGCTTGATTGTGGCTGAAATTTGTTACCTAAACCTATTTTTGAGTTCTTTACCAACACATAGGCTTGCTTCCCACAAAAACAACACATGGTTGGAATTGTGAGATTTAGAAAATTAGAACACTTTTTTGCCAAAAATTTCAGCATCATCCTAAGAACCTTTCCGAACTATTTGGAGTCGGCTACATGAATCCTGGTTTGGGATTCATTGAATGTTCTAGCAAAGTTCTATGTTGGCTGCCTACCTAACACAACCCCCTTCTCCTCCACCCGGGCTTGGGACAGGTTAAGGGAAAGTTTAAGGTCCTCACCCTTAGATCAACATATCTGAACTTGAGTCCCAAATCTAGTTTACGGGTTTCAATTTTTGGGGTATTTGAGGACCACTCTGAGGAAGAAAGCATTGATTCATTTACCCAAAAAAAAAGGAGGCGTAGATTCACACCAAGTACCAAGATTGGATAATTAGCCACGAAATTTGGTCAGTTGAATTGGGTTTTATTTTTTCAATTTAAATACTTATAGAATGAATCAATTTTTTATCTTTTTCATTTTGTGTATAGGTGTTATGAATTTTGTGAATTTTTTAACTTTTATAATTTTTTGTCCCAATTTTTTTCAGGATTTTTATGGGCAATTGACCAGCATGGATAAAACTCAATAAGTTGAGAAAGGACTCATTGAGCAGACTGGCTCCAGGCTCCATGGACACGTTCGAGTAATCCAACACTAATTAAAATCAATTCGTTATTAAGAAACCACTAATCCATCAAAACCATAGTGGGTTAAAAAAAAAAAACAAAAACCCATCCTCGAAACCACTTATCCATCTCCCTCTACTTGTACGCCAAATTTCGATCCCCCAAGAAGAGGATCCCTCCTCCTTGGCCTTTACCATGCCAAATCCACCTCCAACGCACTCTTTCTCTCTCCAAAACCAAAAGCACTCCAATTCTCTACCTCCAATAACACTAGGAATCCATCGCCACCCCATTCATTCAAACCCCAAAAACCTAAAAACAAAACAAAGAATCACAAACTTCACTTGGGAAATACCCAACAAAATCTTCTCTCTCTAAGTTCAGCACCAAGAATCTCGAATTGTGTGCAGAGCAACAAAATTGGAACAAGGGTGGAGAAGTTCAGCATGGAGATAGTGAAATGGAGAAGAGAGGAGAGAAAAAAGCGGTGAATTCCAGTACACTTGACTCCACCAAAAATGGTGCATGTCTATTTCCAATTTTCAAGCAAAAAATCTCCAAACTGGCCTTGAATCCACGTAAAATGACATAGAAAACATGGGCATATGATAATGGAGGCCAGGATGGTTCGTTCCGCATCTTGCATGCAGAGAGAGAGAGAGATCGCCTTAGGCTCCAATTCGTGGCTTCATGCCATCAAGAGAGAATAATAGAGATCAATTTGGATCAAAGGTAAGAGTAGAGGCGTTGGCAAGCACTTGGAGAAAGAGATGGGGATCGAAATTTGGCTTACAAGTAGAGGAAGTTGTATAAGTGGTTCGCTTTTCTTTTTTTCTTGTCACTTTGATTTTGATGGAGAAGAGGTTTTCTTTAAGACCACTTAGTTTTGACGAAGGGAAAAAGTGGAGTTTGGCCTTGTCACAAGTTCTGACCCAAGATGATGTGCCGTTTGAAGAGCATTTCGAAACTAGATCAAAAGAAACAAGTGAGACATTAGATAGTTCATCTCCTAGATGTAGTTTGACAAATTTCCACTATTCTATCATCAAACCGGTATGTTTTTTTATCAAGAACAAATCATAGAAGTCTCTAAGACAAAACACATCAAACAATACTAGGTATTGTCCTTGGCCAACTAATAATTATCAAGCAAGCCACACACCACATAACACAAACTAATATAAATAAACAGTTAATATTGTGTATTTGTTATTTAATCCAGAAAAGAAACTTCAACAACACAAAGGCTTATAGGTTTAGAACATACCGCATCAGACATATCACAATGCAACTTTGTTACCGAGTCACCCCTACCAAGCTCTTCATAGGATCCATATGCAATGTATGTCTTGGGTCCTAAATCTGGCTTTAGGCAACCGTCAGGAAGCTTTGTGGCTAGATTCAGAAGACCCAAATTTGGATGAGTATAATCGAAATAAGGTAATGATGCAATGAACTCAGCACCATGTCTAGGCAACCGTTCTTCAAATCGGCTGGATGAAGGCCAATCCTTCAGCTTCAACATCTCTGGCCAACCACCTCTATGCATGCGACCCTCTAAGTAGCCTTTGAAAAATTTGTGAATATTAATCTCAACCTGAAAAAATTGATGAGGTCTAGAAACATCAAGAGCTAATACCAATCTAAAAATAATTTTCCTTACAAAAGTAATATCATAACATAAACAATAAACCACTAGAAACTAAAATGAAAAAAATCCTATTATTAAGTTGGAAAGTGTACAATAATAATGCAACTCCAAAGCGCATAAGGTATATTTGTCACATTACTGGCCTAGAAGGTCTCTACTCTTGGGGCCCCAACAGATGCTTAACAGATCAAGGTCAGCCTCAATTCCAAAGATCAAAACACGTTCGAGGAATATGTCGCAAAGGTATCATTACTAGCATCCAAGCCTTTAATCAATAGTGTTTTCTTTTAAAATTATTTTCGAGTTATAAAATTTGTATTTTCCTTTTCTCCCGTTTTTTTCTTTTCCTTTCACTTTCACTATAACCTTTCTCATGTGGTACTAAAACAGGCTACTTACTCTAATTATCGGTTTCTCTGATGCACACGTCATGCCACACCATCAAACAAAGTATCAGCAAAGATTATAAACAAATTAATGGCGCCAAACGAAAACCTCAGAATGTGGCTGAATAACAAATACCAAGCATGACCTCAAGTTAATACAAAAACAAAATAAAGGGGAAAAGGCTAGGCCATAGCCAAATGGCTTCAAGAAATGCCCTCTTAATGTATATACCATGGCCATAGCCAAATGGCTTCAAGAGATGCCCTCATAACTCTGTATTATGTTTGTAGATTTCTGTATAATCCCAGTATGGACTTGCAAAAGCCAATGATAACTTACAAACTATAACAATACCACAAAGTCAGCATAGAAACTACCATCTACTCAATGTTTAAAAATTCAGATTCAGCCTCCTAGGCGGCCAAGGATCTGGCCTCTAGATTTATTTGTACCCTTAACTAACCCTCAATTAATTAGGATTCGAAACAATATAAATATATATCTTTTAGTGCTGCCCCTCATTTATAAAGGAATTAAGGGTCATGTCACTCTTCTTTTGGCTTCCTTTCCATCCATTTCTACCAACACCACAACTAATTCCTCTCACTCTAATATCCAAGGTGATATCCTATCATAGTAGCAGAGCAAGGTTCAACCATTAATGTGACCCACTGATTACAAGTATCAAAATCTCTCTTTTATCTCTGTTCTTTGTCAGTGATTATTGAGATTGATTACGTAATTGTCAATGTTGACATAAAAAACCTAGATATGTCCCCCTAACTTGGATTTCTAGATCTCTCTTAACCCTAAATCTTTTCTCTCTAAATCTCTTCTTTACTCTAGATTCTTTACCCCAAATATCTTCTTCACCCTAAATCTCTTCTATTCTTTTGGTGTGAAATCCCAAGCATGAAACCTTAGATCTTTCATGAAACTAAATCCCTGATTCTCTCTAAGTCTCTACTGTACCCTAAATCCTATATTTTGACATAAACAGTAAACCTTAGTAGTACTGTTCTTGAACAGTAAATCATTTTCTTTCAAAAAAAAAATTCCATTGTCTTCAACTCATTTGATCCCATGGAAGCTTCTAGTCTCCCCCAATATTATTTTCCCAAAAGTTAACATCAAACTTTATTCTTCCAATTTCTTGTATACGAAGGAGTTACGCTTCCTTTTATCAGAAGCCTACAATTGATGGGTCACATTGATGGATCGTGTAAAGTACAACCGTAGTTCATCACCAAAGAGGAAAGTGAATACAGAAGGAAAGAGAAAAAAGTTGTAACCCTTAACCCTGAATAAGATGACTGGCTTACCAAGGATTAAGGATTAATTAGGCGGATTAATGCCACATTGTCAGAAGATATCTTGACACAAGTAGCATATACAGACATTGCAGAAGATTGTGGAAGGAATTACAAAACCCATATGGCCAAGCAATCTCAGGCTAGTCTAATGCATTTGAGTCAGAGATGTTTGAGTTGCAAAAGGAAGATAAATCCATATCTAAATACCTCCTGTAAAATCAAAGGAATATGTGATCAGTTTGTTGCGATTCAATATCCCGTTAGTGATACTAATAAAGTGCACATTGCTTTGAAGGGTCTTGGAGATCAATATGAAACTTTTGTTACTAGTGTTACCTCTAGACCATACCCCACTTTTGCAGAATACGTTCTCTACTGCAGCATGCTGTTTACGTTCCGTAATAGGAGGATGAATTCTTATGATGTTTTATTCACCAAAAAGAAGTACTCATCTCCTAGCAATGGTTTTTGTGGAGGCAAAAGTAGAGGAAGAAATGATAGAGGATGTGGTGATCATAGTAGAAGGGGATTTTATGGAAATACTGTAGGGTGTAGCATCTTACCTCCCTAACAATAATAACAATGGGAATTCCAGTTGTGGGAGCCAGTGTTTCAAAAAGCGAACCGCCCAATGCCTGGGCGGCCGCCTAGGCGGTTCAAAAGACCTGGGCAGCCAAATTAGGCGGGTATCCTCGGGCGCTCGCCTAGGTGCCCGGGAACTCACCTAGGCGGCAGCCCAGGGGCGGAAATGCCGCTCGTTGAAGTCATTTTTGGGTCATTTTTTTTAATACTAAAGGTACAAAATTGTGGGTGTTAGGTTTCAAATGAACCTAAAACCCATTAGAGACTATTTTAGAGAGAGAGAAAAACCCCAAAAAAAACAAAAATTTATTGGGCCACCCAAGTTCTGGGCGCCTACTTGGGCACCCGCCTAGGCGCTAGGCGGCCTGGACCCCCCCGACCGCCTAGGTGCCACCTAGCGCTTTTTGAAACATTGGTGGGAGCAATCATATAATGTGTCAGTTCTGTAGAAGGTGTAACCACTCGATTGTTAACTATTATAATAGATATGATCGAAATCCAAGACCACAATATGGAAGCAATCAACATGTGGCTACAATTATATTTGATGATAAAGTTGCAAGTAATGAAAGTAGAGTCCATAATGTCAAAGGACAGTCAGCCACATTGAATACATCTAATAGAGAATCTCGTTATTCATCTCCATTTGAAGCAGCACAGATCGTTGATAGTGGAGCAGCCAACCATTTGACAAGTTATTCACGCATGTTCTCTTCCCTTGCCCCTTACTCAAGTAGTGGATCCATTATAACTGGAGAGGGGTTCTCTCACCAAATTGCACATGTTGGGAATGTCCTAATTCAGTTTTCTAAAGGTCTTATACATCCCGAAAATGTTTTCCTTGTCTCTAATTTCAAATGTGACCTTATTTCTGTGTCACAATTTAATAGAGAAAATCATGTCTTCTTTGTATTTACTTCCAATTGTATTTTGTAGAAGGACCAACTATCAGGAACCACGTTCGGTAGTGGTTCACAGCATGGGAGAATTGTACACAGACGGTGATGAATCGCATTAAACATTCTAGAAAAAGATAGTAAGCCATGGAGGTTTCAGTTATGAATATCAAGTATTCTTGAGTGAGATCCTTGAGTTCAAGGAGCCATCATCAGCATATTCAAAGGTAACAAAGGATAAAGAGGTGAATTGAAGCTATGCAAGAAGAAATCAAGGTCATGCATGTCAATAATACATGGGAAATTGTCAAAAGACCAGCAGATAAAATTGCAAATGGGTATATAAGGTGAAATATAAATATGATGGAAGTACAGAGAGATTCAAGGCAAGGTTGATAGCTAAAAGATTTAATAAACAACAAGTCATTCTTGCATGGTCATCTTGAACCTAGCATTCTAGAATAGGTGCATGTATGCAGTTAAGTAGGAGGAAAATGGCCTTGTGTGATACAAGGCCAAACTTGTGGTGAAAGGTTATGACCAAAAACCAATGTGTTGATTTTTTTGAAATTTTTGCTCCTATTGTAAAGTATAGCTCTATAAGAATCGTTTCATATTGGTTGCTAACTTAAATTTGGAACTAGAACAGCTTGATACTAAAATTGCATTCTTGCATGGTGATCTTGAAGGAGAAATTTTTGTCTCAACAACAACGTTTTGAAGACAAGACTAATCCTAACTTGGTTTACAAGTTGAACAAGGGTTTGTATGGTTTGAAACAAGCATCTAGGCATGGTATAAGAAATTTGATAGTTTTATGCAATGTGACAGCTATATTAGATGTGAATTTCATCATTATGTGTGCTTTAAGGGTTTGCACATGATTCTTTTACTGTTTTGTTGCTTTATGTGGATGATTTGTTCGTTGCTAGCAATGATATGAAAGAAATCAAGTGTTTGAATTTCAATATGTCCAAACATTTTGCTAGCAAAGATCTTGGAACAGCCAAAAAAGATATAAGGCATGCACATTCACAAATATAGAGAGCAAGGTAAACTTTGGTTAAATCAATTTCAATATATATCTAAAGTTCTTGAACATTTTAATATGATTGACTGTAAACTTGTTTCCACACTATTGGCTGCACATTTTAAATTGTCCAAAATGACTTTCTAGTGAATGAGGATGACAAGAGTAAGATGAAGAATGTCCCTTGTACCTCTGCAATGGGTAGTTTAATGTATGCAATGATTTGTAATAAGCCGGATATTGCCTATGTAGTGGGAGTTGTTTTATGTTACACGTCTAATCCAAGATGGGAACATTGACTAGTAGTAAAATGGATTCTTTGGTTTTTCAAGGGGTCACAGAATATATGCTTATGCTATGAAAATTCACCATTGGAAATTGTTCGTTTTGTGGATGTCGATTATGTATATGTCACGAGACTAGAAATTCTAGTACTAGCTACATTTTTATGGTTGGAGGTAGTGCAATCAATAGGACATCAAGGTTATAGGATATTGCTACCTTGTCATCATCTAAATCTGAGTATGTTTTATTGACAAAGGCAGCATGGGAGATGATTTGGTTGAGGCTTGACCAGTTTGGGGTGAGACAAGAGAAGTATGTTCTGCATTTTGACAATCAGAGTGCAATTCATATTGTAAAGAACGCAGCTTATCACTCTAAGAAAAAATACACAGAGATCAGATACCATTTCATTCGATTGAACCTAGAACATGGGGGTCTACAACTAGATAAGAT